TCCATGTGAATCTCTGATTTCATTTGCCCTTAACGTCTGTGAAGATTCTCAGTCGTCCAGATCATGGTTGTCCCAAACACGCTTTTCCAAAAGGCAACTGGACTTTCTTGTTTTTTTTCCTTGAAAACGTTTCACTTCTCACCCAAGAAGCTTTGTGCTTTTGAATGATTTCTTTTTAAAAGCAGGTTCAACAAAACATAAGCCAGATAACATGCTCCCTCCATTAAGAGCGACAGGAAAACTTTCTAGCAAATTCACCATGTTCTGAAAAGCAATGATTCATTTGTGGGCTTACAAGGCCAGGTGCAACCCCTTTTGTCATCTGGCCCCGGTTCCTTTGCGATGTGCACAACAGTGTAACAGCCCTTGATGTTTGCACAAAGCCTTCTTTTTCAGATGGCTTGTTTACACTGTTTCAAGCCCTAGAATGCTTTGTCCTATGTCTGCCTTCCTTTCAAGAACCCCTCTTTTGTATCCTGGGCTCCATTGTCATGGCTCTTTCTAATCAGTAGACACATCTTGCTAGCTTTCCATCTGCCACGTGCTGGGCATTAACAGCCTTCTCTCTTAGCAATCGAGTGAGTCCAAAGATCAAATTTCCCAGAGGTCTGTTTAGTAATATTTATTAGAGCCAAGGTTTAGGTTACAACGCAAGAATTCCAGCCAGCGCTTTTCCATTTTCAAATGGGAAACCAAACTATAGGCAACTCAAGACCACAACATTCTAATTGTCTGTGGGGATTCTCAGTTATCCAGGTCATGGTTGCTTTTCCTTTTCTCCCAAATTTATTTATTTATTTACATTCTTTAAACATCTCTTTGAGTGAACAATCTGATTCCAGGTTTTAACATAGATACATAATCATAATTACATTTTCAGTTTTCTTATCCAGTTTCATATCATATCATTACCTATTCCCTTTTTCTTTTAATATGTTTTATCACTTCATGTTATTTCATTCATCATTTCCAGACAAAAAAAAATTTCATCCTAAAATATGTTATTGTATATTTATCCCCTTTCATTGTCAATTCAATCTTGCCACCTATTTTTATTTTATATATTCTCCCCTCTTTATTCCATTAAACCCAATATATAACAAATTAAAAAATAGAAAAAACCACATATCGATATGGCCATTTTTAGTTACTACATCCTATATTAACCACAATGATATCCTATTTACTATTATATATGCACATATTTCTTTTCCCCCCCAATTGGATTCCACATGGTATTCTTTCTCTATTACATAATAAATCTTATATTTATTCCAAAAGCATTTATATACCAAACCAATTGTAAATATTAATAATAGTATTATACTTTTGGATTTCCATGCTCTATATTCATATTATTCATCATCCAAAGGTGCTTTTTCAAAAGGCAGCTGAACTTCCTTCGTTGTCCTTTTTTCTCTTGAAGACGTTTCACTTCTCATCTAAGGAGCATCTTTCATTCTGAAGATGCTTCTTGGATAAGAAGTTTCTTAGATGCGAACCCACCATTCAGTTAGAACTGAAGAAGCTACTCAGATGAGAAATGAAATGTCTTCAAGAAAAAAAAACCAAAAAAAGTCCAGTTGCCTTTTGAAAAAGCACCTTTTGGACAAATTCTGGTTGATATGATATTCTTGTGCTTCTCTGGTCTAAAAAGGCAAGGGGCTTGCCTAATTGACCAAGACAGATCAGCCTGTAGTTATTTAGTCTGGAAATGGCCACCCGGTTTCATTCTGAAGCGAAAACCAACAGTCACAGGTGTAGCAGAAGGATATTGAGGACCACAGAAGTAGCATTAAGCTTTGAGATACCTGCAAAGTACTCTTCATTGTCTCATTTGATGCTGGTAACGGGTTTCAGCATTAATTGCAGGTTATTCCCTAGCATCTTTTGTTGTTCAATTGCTAAGTCATGTCCGACTCTTCATGTCTTCATGGAACACAGCATGCTAGGCTCCCCTGTCCTCCATTGTCTCCCAGAATTTGCCCCAATTCATGTTCATTGTGTTGACGCCTCCATCTAACCATCTTGTCCTGTGCCATCTCCTTCTCCTTTTGCTTTCCATCCTTCCCAACATCAGAGTCTTTTCCCATGAATCCTCTCTTTTCATTTGGCAGCCAAAATATTTGACCTTCAACTTCAGTATCTGTCCTTCCAGTCAGGGTTGATTTTGTTACCCTAGCATGTATCTTCTTGTAAGATAAGGCCCTTGTTCTATGATGCTCAGGTTTTGGATAACTATTTTAAGTTCGCTTTCATACAATACCCCTTTGCTTATTTTAGAGTATTGACCTTCTTCTTCTTCTGGAGGTTCAGTTGGCCTTGCAGCCTGGTTTGCTTCTCCTTCCTGGCCTGGGGGGAGGGGATAAGGGAAGATAAGAGGACATCCTTGGCCGCTGCTCAACCACACTGCATCCTGCAATGGCTCTTTAGGAAATATTCATCCAAGAACATATTGCCATGAATGCTTAGGACCCTCTCCTGAACTCCATTTCCTAAGGAGGAGAACACCTGTGCGTGTACAGACAACCGCACCCATGGCTTGCCTGCTGGGAACTAGGTTCTATGACAATTCGCTCTGGCCAACTCACCATGGCCAACTTGCTGGGGACAAGAATGACACCAATATCAAAGAAATAATGGAATAGAATCCTTAGGATGCCGAAGGAGGGACAGAATGAAATGTGAACGGCAAAAATTAAGATAATTTTTATTTGTTTTAAATAATGAAATAGAATTCTTAAATTGTCCCGCGGTGAGTTGGCCGCAGCAAGTTGGCTGTGGTGTGGCAAGTTGTTCCCGTCCCCGTTTCGAAGAGCTCTGCCTGTTTGTGGGACTAAAGCACAAGTGGTTGCTTCTTTTGTGTTGCTTAGCCACCTTTATTGCAGCAGTTTATCACTGCAATGCAGAGCAGATTCCAGGCCATAAATGGACATCCCTCAGGACCGCAGCAAGGTTAGCGTTCTCAGCACTTGTGGCTTATCTGATAGGAATGGGCCGTTTTTGAAAAAGGTGTTTTGAAAAAGACGGAGAGGCATTTTATGTCAACAGCAAACTGCTTTGCCACAACCTCCTTGTGTAACAGGTCTATATTATTGATTTGGGTTTAAAACAAAAACAAAACAAAACCTAAGTTTTCTCATTCCAAGAAGATTCTTCAGCCCCGAGGAGCAAGAAGATATTTCCCTTTTTCCTTGCTTCTCATCCAAGAAGTTTCTTCAGTTCTTCAAACAAGAGGACTGATGACAGATTAACAGAGTTGGAAGGGACCTTGTAGGTCATCCAGTCCAACCCTCCCCACCCAAGCAGGAGACCCGACACCATTTCTGACAAATGTCAGTCCAGTCTCTTCTTGAAAGCCTCCAGTGATGTTTCAAAAGACATTTTTTTCAAAAGACATTTTTCTCCTTCCTTGCAGACTTTTTGCTTCTCTCGGATGAGAAGTGAAATGTTTTCAAGAGGAAAACAAAGTCCAGTTGCCTTTTGAAAAAAAGCACCCTTGGGACAGGTAGAATTTAGGCAAAGGGACGACAGTTGCAGAGAACAACTGTTATTCACCACTGCCCTGAGAATGGTCTTTCTGCACCAGATTGGTGAACCATCTTGGTATTTTTCCCCAAGTGCACACATTCTTTCCCCACCCAATGAACTTCCTATCCCTCTCTGCATCTTCAGGTACCCTGGGAGAAGTTGTTGCGGGATAACAAATGCTGTCAGAGCCTCCTAGAAGTTGGTTTCAGGGCATCTTTTGCTTTGAAGGGTGCCTATTAGAAAACTTTGCAATTGCCTCCAGTCCTGGCTATTTCTGATTTTCTCCAGAGACAGCAAAGTCTTCAGTGAATTTGTGAATTTTTGAAATGGAAAAGAAAAAGAGGTTAGGTTTGCTTTAGAATTTTTAAGGGAGATCAAAAAATTAATCTCCTTTACACACACACTCTCTCTCTGTGTCTCTCTGTCTCTGTCTTGGTCTCTCTGTCTCTGTCTCTTTCTGTCCCTCTGTTTCTGTCTCTCTCCTGCATTCTCACAGCACACTTTAACCAGTTTAGTTACAAATCTAGTGGCTGTATTCATACAGCATATTTTCCTTCCTATCTTTGCTTTGCAATTTGCATGATCCCAACCTGTTTGATACGGTTATGATTTGTTGTATTGTAGAAAGCTAGAAAATGACCCAGTTGGCTAAAATTGGGTGACATGTATTGTGCAAAGTCTGCCCTTAACAGAATAACAGAGTTGGAAGGGAGCTTGGAGGTCTTCTAGTCCAACCCTCTGCATAAGCAGGAGACCCTGTACCATTCTGGATAAATGGCTGTCCAATCTCTACTTAAAAGCTTCCAGTGGTGGAGCACCTACAACTTCGGAAGGCAACCTGTTCCCTTGGTTCTTGCTGTTAGGAAATTCCTCCTTAGCTCTAGGTTGCTTCTCTCCTTGATTAGTTTCCATCACTGCTTCTTGTCCTGTCTTCAGGTGCTTTGGAGAATAGCTTGACCCCCTCTTCCTTATGGCAGCCCCTCAAATATTGGAAGACTGCTATCATATCCCACCGGTCCTCCTTTTCGCTGGATTAGACCTTGTGTATAAGCTCTTTCAAAAAGGAGCTATTGGTGTCCCTATGAATTCAAGCCAAGTGGGCCTGGTGTGGCTTGGTGGGTGTGGCTTGGTGGGTGTGGCTTGGTGGGCGTGGCAGGGGAAGGATACTGCAAAATCCCCATTCCCTCCCCACCCCACTAACCTGCTTTCCAGCTCCGTTCTCCTGGGCAGGGCAACAAAAAGCCGATCTGCTGGGACTCAGGAGACAGAGAATAGATGCGGGCGGGGCCAGTCAGAGGAGGTTTTTGCTGGTTCTCCAAACTACTCAAAATTTCCGCTACCGGTTCTCCAGAACCATTCAGAACTGGCTGAATATACCACCTCTGGTTATTGGGGAAATGATTCCCCATCGTACGGATGCCCTGCTTTGAAGCAAACCACCTCTCATTTCTTGCTCTCTTTCCTTGCAGGTGAGCATCTTGACCACCTTGGAGCGGCGGTTCAACCTCCAGAGTGCTGACGTTGGGGTGATTGCCAGCAGCTTTGAGATCGGCAACTTGGTGCTCATCCTTTTTGTGAGCTACTTTGGTGCCCGGGGACACCGGCCGCGTTTGATAGGATGCGGAGGGATCATTATGGCTTTGGGAGCCCTTCTCTCAGCTCTGCCAGAATTCCTCACCCATCAGTACGAGTATGAATCCGGAGAGATCCGATGGAGGGCTGAAGGGAGGGATGTCTGCATAGCCAACGGGTCCACTAGTGATGAAGGATCAGATCCTGATCGCATCTGCAGGAGCAGGACTGCTACGAACATGATGTATTTGCTTCTCATTGGAGCACAAGTCCTTCTGGGGATTGGGGCAACTCCTGTGCAACCTTTGGGAGTCTCCTACATTGATGACCATGTGAAGCGGAAGGATTCTTCACTCTACATAGGTAAGCGTGAACAGCTTCTATCCCAGAACAGTAATTATGTCAAATTCTACTGCATAGTGCAATATTAATGCAATATCAGGGGTTGTCAATTTAATTGTATGGAATGGGAGGGTGTGTGTTTTTATTTTATTTTTGTATAATATACACTGAAGATGGCATTTAACTTCGTTGTATATGGTGCAGTGACAATCAAGTAAAGAAAGAAAAGTGAAGTGAAGTGGTGTGGAGTGGTGAGACTTCCTTGCAAAGGTCTTAATTCATTTTATGATTGCTCACCTCCCAGAATCAGTTGCTGGGATGGGCAATTATATGAAAATGAAAGAAAGAAAGAAAGAAAGAAAGAAAGAAAGAAAGAAAGAAAGAAAGAAAGAAAGGAAGGAAGGAAGGAAGGAAGGAAGGAAGGAAGGAAGGAAGGAAG